TAGATAGTTCATCCCAGCTTTCATAGAATGAGATGGCTGGATTATACCATAGATATTACTGTTTGAGAGACTGAAGAAATGTTTTACACAGTAGTGTGTGACTTCTGGCTTCCCACATTCTTACCATTCCAGTAAGGGTGCCATGAATCTTTGCACTGTGGTTTTTAAAATGCATGTGTGTATGACATGTGTGTGTGTGTGTGTGTGTGTGTGTGTGTATGCCTGTGTGTATGAAGACTACTGGATAACTTGAAGAGTTATCTTCAGGAACATCATATACTTCCTTTGAGACAAGATCTCACATTGGTCTAGAGCTTAGGTTGGGTTGGCCAACGAACTCAAGTGACCCTCATGTTTCTGCTTTCCCTATGCTGGGGTTATAAGTGCACTCCCAAGGCCTAGTATTTTTGCATGGGTTATGGAGACTGAACTCAGATTTTCAGGCCAGGGAAGCGAACACTAAGCTGGTTTCCTAGCCCTCACTGTGGTTTAGGCATTACCCTTTTCCTTGGCAGCCATTGCATATCTGTAGCATCCCTAGATAGAGCCAGTTACCCTGTGCTTTGGAGGTGTGGGGGACGGTTTTCCTCAGGTGGTTTGAGTTATTTACAGTGAGCAATTAGCAACACTATCTAGCATTAACAACATGGTGTGGTCTGAGGAAGACTTTAGTCTGTCAGGGCCCAGAGTCACCAGAGTCACAGGCTCCATCTGTCTTTCCCAATAGTACAGCGGTCAGACAACAGGCAATCTAAATGCTGCTTGGTGTGTTCCAGAGACATAGCGAGATCAGGCCCTCTATGTGAGAGCGTAGTAAGGAGTACGGAGGCAGGTAGAGAACAGAAGTGGAATATTCTAGAGACTGATCACAATGGAAGAGAGTAGAGAGTGCAAAAATGGATGCTCTCTGACTCTGTTTTTATGCTCTACCATATGATCTCTCTGAGAGCTGGCCAGCACTCTTTGCCACCAACCCAACCACAATGTAGTGTTCCTGCCACGAGACCCTTTACCAAATCCAATGCTATCATTATACTCTCAACCTCCAAGAACTAATAGCGAAACATGTTTCTTTTCTTATAAAATACCTGGCCCAAGGTATTTCATTATATCTGTACATTCCATGCTCTCTCAGCTGACTGAACTGGAGGCATGTAGGCGGACTGATCTCTATGTACGCATATCCCTTCATATTCCCTATGTTAAACTAAGGAAGACTTTGCTGTGATATCTTCAACTGTAACCCATTACCACAGGGATTATGCTCTACCCTAATGAATCATCTTAAATAGTAACACAATAGATGCTATCTTGTGCTTGGGATTCTGCAAAGTTGTTCATAAAGATGATCTCACTAAATTCTCTACATGGCTATGGGAAGTCACCACTATTGACAAATGACACAAAGAAACAAAGAAAGGAGATTAATCATGAGCTTAGGTATTTTACTTGCGATCCCTTAGCAGGTAGCAAAGAAGCCATTGCTTTGAGACTCAGCGTCCACTCAGTTCTAGAACATTCCTCTTCCTAGGTTCACAGGAGATGGGGAAATCTTGATACCTCCCAGCTTTCACCAAACCTCCATGGAGAATACTCCTTCCCATTGGACAAGCTAACTGGAGAACTAGCTGCCAAGACTTGACAGCTCCTGAAAAGGGGCACTGGATCAGTCACAAGGATTAGCTCCCTCTGACCCTGTGACTTTTTGGCCTCCTGCTAACCCCTGCTGTGTGTGATCCTGCATTTTGAAGAGTTGGTAGTGATTAACTCTGAGCAAGCAGCTCTGCTTTCATAAAGTTACAAAAGAACAGCGTTCCCTCCTTGTTAATTAAATCATGCATGAGGAAGATGAATGTGCAGCCCACATTGTATCTTCTAAAATATCAAAGGCTGGATTAGTATGTCTTATGCTCTCTGCCTCAGGCCTATTCTCCTCATTCCTAGAGGTAATAGAGACCTGGAGATGAGAGTCTTCTGAGAGCCTACCAATACTCAGTTATTTGGTCACGCATTTATTCATTTGTTATTTTGTGGTGGATCCAAAAGAGGCAACCTTATCAGCACAAAATATACCAAGGGATTCTGCATCAATTAAGCATTGAGCTGGAGACATCAAAAATGACAGATGGGGGAAAAAGGTGAATCTTTCAGGTCACATTTAAAACCAGTTCTTGGCAAATCCTCTTGGTACCTGTGTTCTGCTGGTGAATTTTCCCTGACAGTTGGTGGTTTTATTTGCCAGACCCACAACAAAGGGATCCTTGAGCTTCTCTGGGAGTGCCTTCTGAGCCCTGTGCCTCTCAGAGACCTCACAAAGGTGTTATTGTTGCCTGCTTGCTGTGTTCCCAGCACCTGAGGGAGATCAAAGCTACTCAAGACCACAATCTAGCCCTCCTGACAGAGCATTAAAGTGGATGATTAATCCCTCTAGCCTACAGGCCTCGTCACACTAGCAAGTACAAAGCAAGGTGGTGGTGGGGACTGTATTTCCAGTCCAACACAAGACAATAAACTGACATTTTATGACTACCATTCACTGTATCCAACTGCAGCTGCCCATCAAATCTGTTAAAGCCCCAACAGTTGTCTCATGTGAGCTATTTATGTCACTGAGACATTTTTATAAGTATCATTACTATTTTTGCGTGTCTATGAACTGCACATCACATTCAGATAAAATGAATGTTATCCACAAACTCTCTGGTATAAGCAGTCTTGCCTCTTATATAATGGATGAAGAATCTGAGTCTTAGAGAGATTGATGGGTTCACTCAGATCACAGGACCAAAACAATACGAGATTTTACAACCTGTATCTGGAAATCAGAATGCATCCAATCTCTTTGTTCTAGAATGGGCATGGGATAAGAACACATGATATCAAGAAGCATTAAAACGTAGGAGCTCTGAAACTATACCGAGAGAGCTTTGAGGTTCTTCTAGAAATTAATAATTTTGTGACCTTGAGGAAGGCACTAGAGCTTTCAGTCTTCTTTTTCTAATTTGTAAAACCAGGATTCAGCAGGAAAAGCTAGTGCCGCCCTATGAAGAGACTGTGGCACTGCGGGAAGCTTTGAAAAAGGCAACTCACTCCTTGGGGATTGCTTCTGCTTGCAAGTCTGAACTGGAGGGGTAAAAGTGTGGAGACACAGATTTAGGAAGCTAGATAAGATGTGCCCCAGTGAAGACAGTAGAGATTTAAATAATTTCAGTGAGGACACTTGTCAAGAGAAGGAAGAACTGGCTGCTGTTACACACTTCTGGTTCAAGAAGACTTAGCCTCTGTAGGTTTGTCTTTCTAGCACAGGGCTGCTGAGAGTGAGTGGGTGAGTCTTCTAAAACCAGCCATGTATAAAAACAGATATATATATATAAATATATATATTTATATATACACACACAGAGATACGCACACACTTTGTGTTTTATGGGATTTTTAATGTGATTCCCAAATTGTGAACAAGTGGGTCTCTGTTTCTATATCTGTTTCCTGTATCTTTTCTTGGGCTCTTTTCCTTCTGTTTGTCTGTAATGCCCTACTCTAGTGTGTTTGTTATTTTATTATTATTCTATTATTATCACTTAGAAGCCAGTTTGTTCTCTAATATACCGAAAGGGGTTGAATCTAGAAGGGAGGAGAGATGACGAACACCTCGGAGGAGTAGAGGGAAGGGAAACTGCATTTAGGATATATGATATAAGAGTCAAACCTATTTTCAACAAAAGGCAACACAAAGACATTATATTGCCTAGAATTCAGAGAAGCACAAAATAAAATGTAGTTTTTTAAAGTTCAGCCTAAGTGTCACATCGGGAAGGTTTCTGCCACCAAGAGTTCCCGTCTGAGTCAGCCACTGTTTCCTCTCTGCTCTATAAAAATAAGACGGGTAGTCACAGGCCTGCCTTGTACAGATGCTCCCTGAGAAAAGCACTCACTCAATTCTCATGCTATGAGAGAGCAGCTAGAAAACTCCATATTCTGCAGAAAGCTGGGACCCCATGTGGGATTAGGAACCATCTCTACACAGAGACCGTGGGTGAGATTAAGTGCCTAGCAGAAATCAGATGTGTAGCATAGTGATCTCAAGCTTAATCTGCTTTCAAGGACCCTGGGCCATAATATTTTCTTATAAGCCCATTTCATCCATGGGGAAGTTTATGCTATCCCTTTGTTCCCAGAGTTTAGTAGCCAGGACAAAAGAGAAAGTTTCAGGAATATTATTCAACCAAAGCATCTGCCTGTGAAGAAACGCTCAGTTATTTAAGAGCTCTGGTCCCTTGCTGCAGGGATCCTGCCCTGTATCCTGCTCCATCCTCTGCTCATCTCCTCCTCCTCCTCCTCCTCCTCCTCCTCCTCCTCCTCCTCCTCCTCCTCCACTTTCCTCCTTGGTTTTACTCATCTGGGAAAAATCCAAGGAGTCGTCCATCTCAGTTTAACAGAGTAATGACTTTTAAATAAAAATATGGTAGAAATGGGTACTTATCGAAATGGAATGCTTTCAGACTCATGCATTTAAAAAAGATATAAATTTTAGGGCAGGCACTAAATTTTACTGCAATCTTGGAGAAAGCCTTTCCACTAATTCATGGAGAAAAATTAACACAGTGAAAATTGCTTATCAGTGTTCTTTTGAAGTCATGATATGCAGCCTGATTCTATAGATCATCAGGCCACTCCCAGGGAGATGGATTTATATCGATGGAGGGAGAGCTCAGTGGCCAAGGAAAATAGACACCTGTTTGCAGGGGAGACATAGCCACCCTTTGAGGAGAGATACCTGAATGGCTTTGTCAGCTTTGAAGCCTAGGTAAACTCACTGAGCACCCTTCCATTTTCATCAACAAGATGGCCTCTGGAAAAAGACTTCGCAAAATCTTTCAGGCTTGGGATAGGGAAGGGAGAGACAGAAAGAATAGATGGGTAAAGGAGCCAGTAGTTTAGGATTATCTTCTGGGCTGCCTCCAGTGTTTTTGCCTTGTTGTTCAGTGTGGTGCACTTACCCCCATGTGACAAGATGATGTTCCGCAGATGACAGCCAGCCTTGATGTCACTGGCTGTCCTTCACAGATGAGTCCATGACCTCTCACATCTGCTCCAATTACTCCTGTGAGAAAGTAAAACCAAACAAAATCTTCTTAAGAAAAGAGATTGGGTATGTGTGTGTGTGGGGTGGGGAGAGGTGTATGTGTATATGTGTGTGCATGTGTGTGTGTGTAAGAAAGCTAAAAACAAGCAAAAAATACTTTTTTTTAAAGAAAGAGGGGATACATAAAAAAGGAGTAAAAATCCCATATATGGACTCAAATTTAAAAGTATAAAATAATAAACAAACAGTAATAACAAAAAATTACTAGCTAACCAAGGGCAAACTAGGGGGTATATTCTGTTTTTGCTTTACTCTGGTCCATATGTGTCATCTTACCTTGTCAGACTAATACCAACTATAATTACATACATAAAATGGCAGTTATGAGAGATCTATGCACATTAAATACCATTCTCTATTCTTTGTATTACATGGATCATTTCATATTAACACTGTCTAGCAGATATAATTAATGAACAGACACCAAAGGAAAATCTGCAATCTTCAGAGGTTAAGTAACAGGTCCAAAGTCAAAGTGCGAGTAAGAACCAAGCATGTCTGGCTGGGATCCTTTGGAACACAGGGTACCCCAAAGTCAACGAAGCAAAGGAACACTGTGATGTTTGAATCTTTTGGACACTCATGTCTCCATTCCTATTTCCAGGCATTCCAAAGCTCCAGGTGTGAAAGACAAGTCCCTATTCTAAAACTGTCAGGCAGCAGAGACTTGTCTCCTAGCAAGAGGACAAATGGCTGTTCACACAGCTTCTCTGGATGCCTTGATACTTAGAGAGCAAGTGAGGTTTATAACAGAGAGCTCCTCCACCTTCATTTACTCAAGTAGACATCAAGACCCCCCTTCTGTGTGTGTGTGTGTGTGTACATGTGTGCAACATACTGTGAGTATGCTGTGGGAAGCCAGAGACTTAAAAATCTGCATCACTACAATATGAAGAGGAGGTGATAGATGAGTAGGGTAGGGCAGACACTGGGATGCAGAGAGAACAGTTTGATCGCATCTGATCAACTCTGTATCACCCAGCTCTGAATCTACAGTAAAGGATGTCCATTCATTCATAACTCAACACATTTGCACTTTCCTCTGCTTGGAATGCTGTTCTTCAACCCACTCCCAGGTGAACTCTTGTTTATTCTTAACTCAGGGTTACTTTCTCAGAAAATATTTTCCTTATTATCTAGGAAATTTTAAGTCTCCCTGATAAATGTTCTCATGTACTTTGACTCCAAAGTCTACACCCTCAGTGCCCAATTGCTCAGCAGCAGCAAAGACTCTGTGTTGGTCAGCATAGAAAATTAATTCCAGTGAATAGGTAACCTTAGCCCTGGGGCCTCAACCTATAAGGGTCTTGGGCCTATTTGTTTGCAGATCAAGCCTAGTGTTCTACTCTGTAAATAGAGGCTGTCCCTGTGGACTACAATGCACACAGTCTTGGTCCAGATTAGCCCTACAGGAGATGTAGGAGCTGGAGGAAAGGTAATGCCTTCATCCAATCCAGGGCTCCCATGAAAGAGGAATTTTCCAGGACTTCAGCACTGTAGACTATGGCTCCAGCACCTTCTCCTGTCTACCACACCCAGACTACAGTAACTCATCCCTCTTTCTCTGACTGGTGAACTGGTGGCAGCTTCTTAAGTATAATATCTGACTGACATTTCTGTGTATGAAATTTCTACACAAGCACATAGAACTGATGTCTTCTTGTGTGACGTCTGAGCCCCATGTTTAGGACATCAGAGTTTTGGAACAGGAAGAATCTGAAAAAAAGAGCAAATTTTAGCAACCTTTACTATATTACCTTACTATAGCTAGGTTTTGTTTTATTTGAAAAAAAACCTACTAACCTGATTCAACTATTATTATACTCATTTTACAAATGAGAAAACTGAGGCTTTGGAAGAAGTACCTTCATGGAGTATAGAGTTTTCGAAGCAGGGTTATGACTCATACTAAGATAATCTGATTCCTAAGTGTTGGCTTTTCACCATGAAGACTGGGGATTTTCTCCAAGATCAGGTAGCTAATATTTACTGTCCATATATCTCAGAAAACTGGGGCCTCAAAGGTATTGCTGTGAGATTCTTAACAGAAAGGTGGCTGACAACTATGGTCCTTAGCGTAACAAAACTCTCACAGGGACTGCTGTCAATGAACCTTACTAACCAGCTGCATTTGAATGTAGTCTAGGCAACCCTAACATTACAAGCTCATTCAGTTCTAGGAAGTCTCAAAAATAGGGAAAGAAGAAAATTGTGAAAACATTTTTACTTGTTTCCTCTCTACTAAGTAGTCACTATAGATTTATCTTAGTTTAGAATGGATCAACTAAGAAGCTAAAACTAGGATGAGAATGGAATGTTGTGTACCATGGAGCACACTGATTGTCCTAGTCAACAATTTGAAAAAATCCAAGTCTTAGTAACCCCCAGTTCTGCTACAAATTTGAATTTGTCCCCTGTTTTTCAAAAATGAGAGAATGGAACCAAATGATGGCACTGCGTCAGCTGCTTTTAGCACACAGCATATTCAGGGCTTCTTCTAATGTCTGCTGGACACATAACAAACTGTTCCTTTTAGGGCACTCACTCTCCAATCCTGAGACACAGATACCAGCCACACTTGGCTGAACCAGCAAGTAGCTGCTCTTACTGGTTTTTCTCAGGGGAGATCTTCTTCTTTTTTTCTTTTCTTTTTTTTTTTTGTCCTACCAGGTGTCATCTTGAACTGAACACCAGCACACAGGTAATGCATTCGTGAGATCACATGCATCTGAATAGGGTCATTTTCATTATCTTAAGGCCATGCAGAGGTTAGAGGGGTGGTTGCCCTTGAGACTAGAAGCCCAAATGGAATCTGAGAATAGTAAGAGATGGTAGGAGTGGGGCAGGCTTTCTCCTTTCTGAATAAACATTTCACAATCTGTAGCGAAAAAAGATTATGCACGTACATCAGAAAACAACACATGAGATGAGATTTTGACAAGTACAGCCTTCGGCAATGCTGGGTAAGGTCTTGTATATGGTATAAAACTTTCAGTTTATCCCAAATTTCCTCAGAAAGCTTGCTTGAAAAGAAATTAGCAGCTGAAGAAATAAGTACCAATAGAAAGTAGTCACATTTTCAACTGTGTGTCCTCTGAACCTTGCACAATACCTAGCGGATGGCAATTGCTCAATCAATGTTTTTGGTGACTGAAAAATAAATGCCAAGAAAATTAGCTTATTCCTGTTCCTGATTCAAGAAACAAATTCAGGGACTTCCATTTACTGACTCTTTATCCTCAAAATTCAGACATGATTCATGCCAAGCAACATGTTTAAAAACAAAGCTTAAGAGGAAAAGTAAGAACAATGGGCAATTTTCTTCTTTACCTCTCTGTGCTGCCCACCTCCCCCTTGTCCTTATCCATCTTCCATATGGACATTCATTAAGCACATACTATACTTACAAACAGAAAAAATAGACTCTGCAAATGTTATGATTTAAGAGTCCATTATCCTGTAATTTATCAAACCACAACTGCTTTGAAAGTTTTATAGGGTTATATGGAAGAAAAACAACCCAAGTTCTAGCATTTGTGTTATAATTATGTCCCACTTTATAGCTATATAACAGTACTTTTGAGTACTTTTTGCAAGCATCCGCCAACACTACACCCTTTATTCCAGTTCAAGTTGAAAGAACTGAGTTTCAGAGATGTGAAAGTCCTCCCATGCTGCTCCAGAGGTGGAGCTTTGTCTCACGTGAGCATTCCCCGAGTCTGAGTCTTAAGCGCTGGTGCCCTAAGAGAGGATTATTCACTTGATATAATAACCTGAGACGCTTCACAGAAGAAGAAAAATAAGATGAATTTTGAAGATGGCTTGAGATTTTATCAGCTCTTGATTAGGGCATTAGAAGGAATAAGCTGACAAATAAATCCAAAACTTGTTCCACTAAACAGGCAGGCAGGTTGGCATTCTTGGGAAGACAACTCCACATGGACCACCAGCCTTATGTGAGGAAAATCTAGGGCAACTGCAAGGTCCTCAAAAGGCAAGAGTTGTAACAAAGACATTTTCTCTGCAGAAGACCTAACTGAAACTATTCTGTTATTTTGATTACTATGTATACTACATAGAACCTAATTTATGTCAACTTACTTGATTGTTATAATGGAGATTTAAAGATGAGTCATTCTTCCTGTGACTTTGATTGAGTGTCATATCTTTTATTCATGTCCCAGTTTTTACATACAAGCCGTTAGAAATCACCTTCCTCATAGGATTCTTACATACATGTTCATACATTTAAAGCACTTAGGTCAGTCCTTTCTAGTAGCACAATTTTTGAACATGAATATTTTCTGTGTTGGAATGTCCAGTTCAGCAGTGAGCAGTTGCATATTACTATTGAGCACCTGAAATATAGCTAGCAGAACTGAGCAAGTAAATTTCTACTTTACTCCATTTTAATCAAGTTAAATTAAAATCCTCTTATAATACTAGTGGTTTATCAGGTAGTATAGGTTAGCCCATGTTTCACACTGTTTACTTGTTTGTTGTTTCATTATTTTGTCATTATTATTTCTATCATTTAATTTGATGTATCCTAATACTTGGACTTCAATACTGCTTACTTGACTCTGGGTAATGCTTTGAAATATAGACATGATATCTTATTTTTCATTTCAGAAGACCTTGATAATAAGACCTTCACATTGACAAAAAGCCTTGGAGACAGACAGGCACAAAAAGCACACTGGTTCTCACCAAATGGGAGCCATGAAATCCAGGGGCTATCTCAGTGTCTGTACAAATGGGACTCCCTCTAGGCTGTTTCATAGATACCAGAGCATGTCCTCTTTGATGGTTTGATCGAAAAATGTCTGTCATTGAGTATTTCCTCACACAGCTCTCTATGCCTAAAGTAGCCTTTCTTGCATTACTCCTCGTGAATCCATCCCAAAGCCTCCTTTTTGGCACCAGAAACCTGTCTGGACCATATCGTTCTGCATCTT